GTAAGTGAACATTTCTGTTTGGTGAGGCACTGCAGGCTCTATTTGGGTTCCTTCATGCCATTCATTGAATGACGTTATGGATATAAAGTCAGCGGGTGCTGATAGGGCACTACGCCATGCCACCTCATAATATTTTCCATGTCTTCGATGTCTTGCATTTGCGTTGTTCCATGGTCTCACCTGAAAATGAGAAATATGATAATAATTACTTACAGAGATAAAGGCTACTGAAAGGCATATACTTGATAGTCAAATATGATACCTGAGTGTCAATGTAACCAGGGCCAACAGATGGTACAAATATTAGGCCGTTTTGATGCGCAAATTTACTCAGACTACGCCAGTTTTTCCAAGTTGATCCATATGTGAATCCATTAGTAGCAAAGTAAGTATAGAAACCTACAAAGAAATGCTTTTAGTAAGGAACCAATAGGGTACAATCAGAAGAAAAACATGGCTTCACAGTACTTACCATCAAAATGAGCCTTCTTTATATCATAGCGATGTTGCATTTCTACCAGGAGACCCAGAAACACAGCATCAAGATGGGTCCCTCGAATGCTTAGATTTCCCTTAGCACTTAAAAGCTCACGCCAAGCTGGTGCTGGAGTTAAATAAGAGTCATAAATGTAAAAAACTGGTAGTTCTCTTGCGTCTGGTCTCTGATGTAAACGGCGCATCCTGTACAAAGCTGGATGATTTCCATACCTAGATAAAACAAAGGAAATTTTAAAAATTGATGCACTTTTAATACTACTGCAGAAATCAATCCAATTATAGTATACTTGAGAATAAGGTGACTAATATGTTGATGAAGGTTGATAGGATTACGATTCATGTAAGGCTCAATGTGGGGTGCCACCTTTAATTTGTAACGATGAGCAGCATCTAGTACAAGAGGAAGAATGTCCTCAGGAGAATCAGTCATTCCCTCTGGGTACCAAGACAGTACAACTACTCCTGTGACAGATTCATAAGCTCTGAGTTAATGTCATGTAATATCTGAAGTATTTAGAGAATAAAAGAAAAAGTTTTCTACCAATTCCTGCTTGATGCATTAAGCGCATATGTTCATCAATGATTTTTGGATCCCGAGAGCTGTAGCATCCTAACAGTGGATAGAAGTTTGCTCCAATGTCATCAGGAGGCTTGTGTCTGCCAGTAGGATAAACTTTCTTATCTTCTTTTTTCCAATTAGTGAGGTACAGGTGGTTCCAGTGGCTCCAATTCCCATCAACCGCTACATTACCATACCATGCATAGTAAAATGCATGGACATGGAGATTAGGCTCTAGTTTATTCACATTATCAAGTGTTTGAGGTTTGTTGACTTTTTGAGCTATTCTCTGGATCTTTTCTCTTAACATTTTGGCACGAATTTCCCCTACATTAACGCTTTGATTAGTTGAAACCCTATTCAACTGCTTCATGCCATGGTTTAAAGATAATCGTGAAACTGTCAATTCATTTAGGGAAGGTTTAAGGTTTCCTACCCTGGCATCTACATCTGACCATCTAAGGCTAAAAATACTGAAAAGTAAAGTCAACAATATGAGAGATAAGATAGAAACAATCCAGTTCCGTTTCAGCCATATCCAGCACCAACGAATGGGAAAGGCCATGTTAGTATGGAGACATCAATCATTGGTGAGGAATTATCAGTAAACGACGTGGCATCAAAATCTGTAAAAATAGATCAAAGACTTTTATTTTAAATTTAAAGAATGAACACATTTCAAATAACATCAAACTTTATACACAGATTGTAATAGCCAAAGAACTGACCCAAGCAGATACTATTGTGCATCAGCAATGCATTACAAAACATGAAAATTTCAATCATAATGATGTTATCGCAAAGTCAAAATGACACAAATTTCCTCCAGAGGTACCTTATTTTGACATTTCATAACAAAAATATTTGTCACTAGGGAGAGCTTAATATAATAATGAGCAGTTTAGTTTCATCCACCTTGTGTCTCATCTTCATAAAAAAATATAATAAGAGAATGCCAATGATTTTGCCCTGTCAAACTATGTGTGATTAAATCACTTGTTGTCTGCTTTAGGACAGTGCTTTGGACAAGAATGATGGAAGATTTCTCGGGTTAAATTAATTATTGTTGAAACTCACCATATTGTCTTACAACAAACGAAAAGCGTCGGATCTCCCTGAACAAATAAAGCCCAAAAGACACGCAAAACCATTATTTTTGCTCTAGCTGTAGGTGTTGAAGACATAAAGAGTTAACCGATTGAATGCCGTCTGCCGTCTCAAGTTTCTTCTGCTTTGTGTGGATCGGGCTGGATCGGGTGTTCGTTTACTTCTCTTCTAATCGATAACGTGCGGCAACGTGCACATTGTTCGTGATGACACAATGTGTACTCAAATTCACAAAAATATAGTCGGAGGATAGTTTTGTTAAAAAAAGCATATTGAAATAATTTTTTTATATTTCTGTATTGCTAGATTACTCGAATTTACAAATGGTTTCATCTAAAAGTTTTCCTTGTTTGGTTGGCAATGCTGTTGATGCCGGAGCTCCCCCTTCGCCTTCCTCACCCCACCTCCCTCCCCGCCCCAAGTTTCTTCAGTCCGCCGCTGGCCGTAGCCGTGCGAGGTCCACTCCGTTCGCTCCGCCGCTCCGGGGCCTCGCTTACGTCAGAGGAGCAGGAGCCATGAAAGTAGTCCTGCCCATGTCCCATGGAGCTCATTGATTAGTGTGTGTGTGTATGCGTGTGTGTGAGTGGATGTGTATATGTTTAGCAAGAAGGTTGACAAAAGTGACGATTTTGTGTGAACAAGTTCTAAAGTCGATTAACATCGACTCAAAACAGTGTTGTGATGCATTTTCGGATATCCCCTCTCCTGCTAGCCGCCCTGCTGGTGGGATACACTGCCGCTCAAGAGGTAAGCCCAAAATAAACACAAATCCAGCCGACAATACTTTTCTTGATCATTTGTCCCTTTTCTTTGGTCTTTATGTACAACTGTGTCCTTCGTCACCAACTCTTTCAATTGAACTCTGAAGACAACACAACCTTTAGTCGATTGCTGCTATCCTTAGTGCTTAAATACTCGATGTAAATACCAGGTGCGGGTGGTCCTTCCCACTCAATAATTTCTAAAATGAAATTACAAACGTATGAATTCATTTTTCAGCGAAAACTGTCTGGGGGAGTGGAAGAACATGTTTTATTATCAATTATTAGGATACAGATCTCAGTCCTCAAATCTCAGTCAAACATAACCTCACGTGGCGACCTGACCCGCTTGCTTGATTTGTTGTTTTTAGAAAATTTCTGTCCTGAACTTCTGCTTTAAATTTAATGTAAGTTTTGTTTTTCTTTACCTGCCTTTTGATAATGTTACACCTTGTTTGTTTTCATAACATTCTTGTCTCTTTGTTTTAGAACCTTTATCACCTTGTTGTCTGTGTAACTTTCAAAGTGATCCTCAGAGCATTTTGCGTGTTGTATTTTTTGTTTGAAACCTACTCATCATTATGTTTAAATGCCTCAAGGGTTGTATTTAACTGCCTTTGTTTTTAGGACATGAAATAATTTCCCCTTTTTCTGGTTGTCATGGTTTACACATGCAATTTGAAATGACTATCGACAGCAAAATCATTATTATATTACACTAACTTATAAAATCTCTCTTTGCCCTGTTATGAGTTAATACCTTGGTTTGCCATGTTAAGTCCATTTTTATAGTACCATAATAAGTTAACTTAGCTGAAGGATTATTTAGTTGATCTAAGATGAAATGTGTGAAAATGCACTTGATGAGTAAGTAGTAGAGATCCTGCGTACCAGTAATCCATTTTACATTCGGCCCTATACTTCTAGCTAATACATGTTAGTAGTTGTTTGCTTCTACTATTTCCCTTTGTTCACCTCCCTTCAAGCTTTATTGAGTAATGCCTTGCCTTTGTCCCTTTTTCACAGAGCCCTTTGCTTCTGTTTGTGCATCCCATCGTAACAAAACATTTGCTTCCTGATTCCCTACCAGCCTCCCTGTTGTTCCCTTATCCCTCTCTGTAGGCAATCCTGAGAGAAGTCATGAGGTGAGGACATTTGCCTCAGCTGATACTGCTTGTCTCAAGCTGTTTGGTGCTTTCCTATAGTTTTAGGAGTGTGATTGGTTGCGGTGCTGTCAGAAAGTCTGGCAAAAATCTACCGAATACATGTGTACAGTGCAACTTGCCTACTGGGCTACATCTGCTCACGCGCTCAGGGGCGAAGGCGGGTTTGGAGGGTCGCCTAGTAGGCAGGCGTTGACACCGCCGGTGGATTTTTGCTTAACTTTATGGGCAGGACTGTTTGCAAGCCTTTTCAAACTATTCACCCTGCCGGATTCTGCTGCCGGCAGCCTGTAGCTCGCTGTAGCTAGAGTCCTACAGTGAAATCGTAACGTCCCTTGAAGACACCCCAGGCGTTGATTTGGGGGGAGGGGAGGGACTTGCCTCCTCCCCTAATTCTCCCCCAGGCATCGCTCTCTTTGAGTCACCTCAGGTGATATATATATATAATCCGAACGTGGCTGTTCTAAGCCGTAATTTTTGTGGTTTCACTCTCTACCGGATGCTGTCGCGCGGGTGGGTTGCATGCTCGCCCGGGCCAGCCTTTCTCCTTCAATCCAGAACTTGGCCCTTAAAACAGGGCCGTGGTGAGGGTTGCATCACGGAAAAAAAGAATTAGTCCTCACAACTAACAAATTAGCTAATTTTAGGGTCGCTAATCTCAATTTCGCTGTGGCATCCATTAGTTGGTTGCCACAGACAAGAGTCAGTTGTTACAGCGAAGCTGTCGCTGCAGGAGCCAATCGGTTCTTTCTGACAACTAATTGGGTGTTTCGCTGTCAGAGCGAACCGATTGGCTCCTGCAGCGACAGCTTCGCTGTGGCAACGAACTCTTGTCTGTGGCAACCAACTGTTAGCTGCCACAGCGAATTTCTTGTCTATCCCAAAATTAGCTAATTTCGAGGGAGCAATAACTCCGGGAATCATGTGTACACCTGCCTGGGAATCATCAGGATAAAAACTTATAAAAATCAACAGAAATCGCCTAAAATAAGCGGGAAACTAATGGAACTCGAACAAATTAGTCGAAATAAGCGTTTTCTACCACTTGAAAACCTAGGAAATGAACATAAGTGGACGGGAGTCACTGGGACTTAAGGATTTCGAGAATCATGTGTACACATCAAAAGGGAGTTATTGCCCCCTCGGCTAATTTATTAGTTGTGACAACTTATTCTTTTTTTTTTTTCGTTGTGGTGCCCGCCCGTTCAGGCGGTACAGTTTATATCCAGTAAAATGTACGGCTTAGAGCCGGAGTTTGAGGGCCCCTCGCTTACACTAATAGTTTAGTGGTGTCTCTTACTGAGTGGTATGGAGACACATGATTCTGATTTTGGTGATGTAGATAGCGTCGTTCTTTTGGGTCGAGAAACTAAACAACTCAATTTAAAAATGGTGCTGGCTCCTTGCCTTGTCCTCCCAAGACTCTGGATCCGCCCCCCGATCTTTCAGCCTCCGGTTGGCCCGTGGGAAGCTTCATCTGTGTTATCATTTTCGAGTTCAGTCGTCAGGTTTGCCGATAGTAGTAGTTGTATATCTGGGACTGTGCGTGCGGCGGGGCGGGGCGGGCTAGGTGGGGCGTAGCGTGACGTGATGTGGCGCGGCGTGGCGTGGCTCCGTACGGAAGCGTGTGGGCGGGCCGGTCTGGTGCATCGAGGTGAGGAGCTCCGCGCAGCTCGGCGCAGCTCCACGCAGCTACACGCCTCCTAACCAACTCCTCCACTCCTCTCCCCGCCCTTCACCTTTCCTCTTGTATCTCCCCCCCCCCTGCCCTTCACCCCTCACCCTATCCTTCGCCGCTTCTCTCTCTCTCTCCTCTCTTCTCCACTCCTTCCATTTCGCCCGCCCCACTCACGTCGCCCACCTCCTCCCTATCCGCACCTCTGCAACTCCAGGTCCTCCTTTGGCGACACATTTGTGCCGGGCCCTTTGCTACACCGTATTCGTCTTTGAGAGCGCCTTTCTTGCTTCCTTTGCGCCTTGACAACGCTGCTCTACATGCTAAATGAGAAGGCCGCCCCGTTCATTATATAGGGACGATTTCTTGCAAAGTGCATGCGCGCGCCCGCCCTGCCCGGGCGCATGTCTGCCGGGCGTGCTGGTATGGTAGTTGGTCATTTGGGTGTTGCGGCGGGCGGGCGTGTGCCATGTTTATCGCCAGCGGGTTATTGGCGTGTTGCTGGGTGACATTTCCTCCATTGAATACACGTGTTTCCTTGTAGCGCCCTTCCTTCTCCGGATATGGAGGCCTCGGCTCGCCCACTCGCCGTCCTTAATGCCTTTGCCGCATTCCAAGGGCCACCTCCCCCCCCCCCTCCTCCCTCCATACACACACGCACGCTCACGCCTGTGTGTTCTTCCATATCTCGAGCTTTAGTGCTCGAATTTAAAAATGTCTTGCGTCGAGAGCCGTAGTTCTTTGCCCGGCACACGTGCGCGGCCATTCCCTTCTGCTTCCCTCGTTTTCTTCCCACTCTGCTAGTTTCGTGCCCCCTCCCCCGCCCCTCTCCATGTCGTGCGCCTGTCGGTGCCCACGCGCCGCTGCGCTGCAGAATCGTACCTACAAGTACACACAGTAGTAAACGCTCCTTGTATCTAAAGATTTGGTCTGTGTACCCTCTAGAGTGTAACAACAACAATTAGACACCCCTTTCCCCTGTTCCTGTTGGAAAGGTCCTTTTCGCAACTGTCACGGACTCATACATGAATTTTACGCTTGCAATGCCCGGCAGTGCCTCACAATTCATTGAGTGAATTTGACTTTTCCGAAGAAGGGATTTTGATTTTTCCAGGCGGGTTGTACTTAACTCCTTCCTCTTTATCTTTCTATGCAACGTTCTCCCGGGAGACAAGCAGGGTCGCGACGCGTCAGGATAATCAAGGAAATGTCTGGGTTTTGAAATGTTGTCAAGAAAATCAGGAAACTGTCAGGATATTAGGGTAAAGTGTCAGGAAAAGCCGCTTCAGTAGGTGCGATAATTGCCTTGACGCTCAAGAGACACTGAGCTGTGTCAGAATTCAGGAAAATATAAGGAAATTTTAAAATTGGGATTCTGTGACAACCCTGAAGATAATTTTTCCTCTTTAGGGGAAATAGATCTATAAATTAGATTAAAGTAGCGGCTGGAGAAGCTTTGGCGCATTTAAAACAAAAACCACTGATATAATACTGTATGTCCGGAACCCTTCTAAACATTCCTACCGGGTCGTGTTTACTCGCCCAGTCAGAAATGAATGATCAAACCGAAATGAGTCGACGTTTATTAGTATGTCAACAATTCGTTGATTCGTTTCGTCGACGTCTTATCAATGTCAAATTTCCATCGACCAAAATAGCGCATGCTGTGGCCTTTGTCCTCTACTTTGTCTGCAACCTTCACTTTAATCTCGTGAGCGGGAAAACCGTCACAATCTTGGCACAAGTGTCGTTATATTGCAATTGTCCGCCACCACTGAGTATAATATACTGATTATTTTTGCCTGCATTTGACTTTGGGGCCTATTTGGGGTGAGAGCTTGCATTGCCATTGCCAAGTTCAGGCAATAGGCAATGCTAGCTCTCATGGCGCCTGGTGGGTAGGCAAAATCTTTGGGTGCAGTGCAGGCGTGTACTGCGGGATGGCCTATCCCGAGTCTCACAGGCGCCGAGCTCCTGTAATTTGCAGAATGATTTAAAGATAAACGGACTTTTTTTTTTGGTCGATCCCTTGAGGCTTGGCTTGGCTTGGCTTTGGCTTGGCTTTCGCTTGGCTTGTCTTGACTTGGCTTGCCTACCCCGTCCGTTTGCATGGCGCCTGCGAATAGGCAAGGCCGTATGCACTGACTCCGTCTCTTATTTACCCTGGACAAGTTGTCGAGTTAAACCTATATTTGTAGTTGACGAAACGGCGAACGACAACCAGTTTGTGAGTTCGTAGGGGGGGAATATCGGTGGAGGCTGTGGCGGCGCTGGTTGGTTCTCTGCGCTTGGCGACGCCCTCTGGCGGCGCAGCGCTGCCCCTGGCGCTACTCGCGCTACTCCAGCCTTTCGCGGGGTAGCGCCGACGCCGGTGGGGCCATACACACACATATATATAGTATATCTGCTAGGGCGAATGGGGCAGCCACCTCCGACCTGACTCCGACCCAGCCCGGGCTTGACCTGGGGTGGGGGCGGTGTCAGGCCCTCGTAGCGTGCTCGGACCCGCCGCTGGTCCGTATAGTGCCCGTCGGTGCGTGCCGTGCCCCAGGTGCAGCACGCCCCTCCCCACCCCCTCTCCCTGTGGACCCTGAGAGGGGTGATCGACTCTCTCTGTAGTTTTCATGTCTCTAGTGACCGGGTCATGGAACTTGAGTAGGGCGGCGGGGAGTGGGTTTGTGCGAGTAGGTAACAGCAGAGTGTTCAACTGGGACACGGTACTGAATCGGTGATGCGGGGCAAAGCCATAAGACCGAGGGGGCAATGACTCCGAATTCAAGTGTACACATGATTCCCGTTGATTCCCATTGATTCCCGTCGTGATTCTCATTGATTTCCGTTGGTTTCCGTCGTGATTCTCATTGATTCTCGCTGATTCCCGGTGATTCCCTTGCCTGTGTGTACACATGATTCCCAGAGTTATTGGCCCCTCTCATCAGACATCCCCCCCCTACACACCCCCGGTTAGTCTCCGACGTTTCTCCTGGAAATATGCGAAATGCGTCAAGACCTTGTGCGCGACATTGGACCCGACTGCCAGACTTCGACCCTTCCCAGTCAGGGCCTCGCTGATGTCCTGTCCTGTGGGGCACGCCACCTGCGCGTTTGTATGGGATTGTGAGAGAGCACGCATTTCCGTATTTTTTTTATATTTTTTTTTCGTGCCTGAGCAATACGCAGTTACCGGCGACCTCCTAGTTTCGTTATCTTGTGAGTGTATGCCCCTTTCAGAGAATCCACACGCCACACGTCCTTTCGTAGCGCGTCTTCATGTGGTGCTATCGTTAAAAGAAATGTCTGTAAACTCCGCAGACCCTTGGTTTATGTAGGGGGTGCGCCGGGGCTGGATCCGCCCCTGCCCTACCTCGAGCGGATCTCCAAAGCTTTGAAGCGCCCCGTCACCTCCACCCCCTTCCCCCTCGGCTTGTGTGACAGTTCGGCCCCTCGGTGTGTATCCGTGCCCGCCCGTGCCCGAGGGCGCCCTGGCGCTGGCATCCCCCGCGCTCACTGGAGAGACGATGGCGCATGAGCCGGGGCGGGGCAGGCGGGGGCGGAGAGTATTGATTGCGCCCCCTCCACGGCCGCCCCCCGGGTCTGCCCCGCTGCCTGCGCCCCACACGGGTCCAGTGCCCCAGCATCCCGCTCGGCAGCAGCAGGGCTGCAGCATCCGCCGTCGGGCCGTTTGGTTGAGCGTGACTGTGCGTCGTGCCCTACTCTTTGTGCTGCCTCTGGATTGCGGCGGCGCGGCGGTCTCCTCCTGTCTAGTAATGTTTTTGGCCTCGCCCCCGTCTCTTAGCTTTCGCTAATCTCAACTCGTCCCCGTCCCCGCACCTCACTCCCCCCTTTCTTACCTCTGCCGCCCTCACTAACTCTCGCCCCAACCCCCCGCCCGCGCTGCGCCCCCACCCCGTTTGCCACCCCCCGCTTACCCTTCCTTTATCCCTCGCCTCCCCGAACCGCCTCCCCTCCGTGTACACTGTAGCTGGGTCATGTTGACTGAGGGTGCAGCTATAGTCCTGTTGCCCGGGGATGTGGAGGGCCTTCTGGGCTGGGTTGAGATTTTTTATGGTTTCATCATGGTTCTCCAGGCTGTGTAGCACTCACCCGCCCCTTCGCAAACGTTCACCTGCCCTCTCCCCTTACTTGGGGTCCACCCCCCCCCCCCCCCCCCCCTCTACTTTTTCCCTTGTCCCATCCGACCGGACCTGGCCCTCCCTGACGTTTCCCAGGGGATTCCGTCCTGAAGCAACTGTGTCTATAAATGAAAGCGAAAGCATAATGGCATATATGATAGATATTTATTCTCGCTTGGAATATTATTAAGACTGCGACGATGGAAAGTTGAATAAACTATTGCCATTAATCAATAATAATACATGGTTTTAGTTGATGTTACCTATTGGATACGCGAATGGGGCCTGCTACTTCCGAGCTTGCTGTTTCTCACTTATTCCCATTTTTCCCGCAGGCGCGCAGCACTAGCGCTAGTACTCCGTCATGGAAACTAAAGGACGAGATCTACCTGGACGACGCGGCCGACGGCTCTGGTGACGGGCCGCGCGGAGACTTCAAGGGAGACCTCGAAGCAAGCGGGTCCGGCGGCGGTCCGGCCGGGGAGGACGACGACGAGGACTACGCAAGGAGTGAGTACCCCCAACAAAGCTCAATCTGAAAGCCGCAAGCCCGAGCGCTCGATGCGTGGCTAACTTCCTTCTTGCCTCACTAATGTGCCTCACTCTTTGCAGAAGGATCAGACGTGACGCACAAGGGGAGCCCCGACGTCGATCTAACGGAAAGGAACCGACTGGACGAAACCACGCGAACGCAAGTGAGTACATAATAGGCTACGAATGTCTCGTCAAAGCTGTTACAATGCCTCGGACAATCAACGGAATTTGCTTCTTCCAGACCAATGTGGAGAACGCCCCTGTGTACCCTGAGCAAGACCTGAGCGGCTCCAGCTCAAACGCCAATTCCAACTCCAACTCGAACCAGGATCTGACACTGAGCGGCGGAACCGGCGGGACACGCGTTCAAACTGAAGTGGAGGAGAACGGTCTTGGGCCTGAGGACGAGCGCACGGGCAATGAGGGCGTATACATCATGAGCCAGAAGCCAGAGGAACGAGCCGCGTCCTTCTTCGCGCAGCCGGGCATCCTCGCCGGTGAGATATGTGTTGTGTGTTCTGAAGGAGTTCCCACAGTGTACTGCCATACACCAGCGTGCACCACATTTTATTCATGGGAGTGACAAATGCAATCTGCTAAGCACGACCCATCCCCTTTGGTGCACCTGCTGGTATACATGCGTAGCGAGAAATATCATTGTGTTTATGCGTGGTACAAGATGGTACATAACTCCGTGGGATTTCCATTATAACTTAACATGATTTTTGAAAAGTTTTTGAATTTTTATTGTGTTTTGGCATCTTTCTTCCTGTTGCTTTCCTGGCCCTATGTGACCACTATGTGGTCGCGCTCCAATATTAAATCATAGGGACCAAAAATGAGCCGCGGGGAACGTATAAAGTCTTCTAACTTCGAAAGTATAGTTCACCATAAACAAATAGTTAATTTTGGTCTGTTTTGGTTTGGTTTGTTTTTGCAGCTGTAATCGGCGGAGCTGTCGTTGGGCTGCTATGTGCCATTCTCGTTGTGATGTTCATCGTCTATAGAATGCGGAAGAAGGATGAGGGTTCGTATGCGCTGGACGAGCCGAAAAGATCACCCACAGTCAACTCGTACTCAAAAAACACAAATCGTGAATTCTTTGCTTGAAAGTATCTAGTAAATGGACTGAATAACTCAATAGAACATATGTATGTTCTGGTCTGAAAATGAGGTTTTGTTCTGTGAAAATGTTCCACTACAACAATGAGATGCTGTGGTGCTCTAACAGAACCGAATTGACAACTATTATGTATGAAGTGACTTAGGTACCATACCTAACATCAACATACTACACAATCAAGGAGAATACAATTAGAATTTCTCAGCAAAATAAGATACATTTTGCTGTGATGGCACATTGTATCCTCATGTGTATGAATTTACCATGAAGGCTGAAGGCTGCAATGGCCTGGGAAGCATCTTGTATTTATTTTATTTGTGACCAGTTGGAACAGTGGCACAAGCCTCCTGTTTTGTATTTATTTTATTTGTGACCAGTTAGAACAGTGGTACACGCCTCCATGGCGTTAAAAACACATTTTATTTCCCCCCCCCCC